ATATTAGGAAAGCTGCTATAAAAGGGCGGAGACATGCAGCGTTCGGCGGGTCTCAGCTTACCACCATGGGAGCCTCGATCCGGATTGGCAGCAGCCCGGCTCCACCCCCTCCCCCATCTAACTCACCTGGCCAGTAAAGTTAAGGGAAGCAACTAATTGGTAACAACAAGACGAAATGTGTTTGTGTGTGTGTGTGAGTGTAAGTGTAATATATTATATGCATATAATACAGTGTTAATGAATACATGTATTACTAATAAATGTGGCGTTTTGTCTTATTCCCCCTGAAAAGATCCTGTGCAGTACTTTAAGTACAACACGGTGCCAGGCAAAGGGCAGTACGAGAAACGGGCCGAGTCGGGAGAGGGAAGAAGAGGCTGAAGGAGCAACGAGTGGGGAGGGGCCAGGGACCGACCCAGGAGGAATTGGGAGGCAGTCGAGTTCCCCTCCTTGCCCCCCACCGGGCGCTGGAGCCCCTGGGGCCTCCTACCTGAGAAGCTTTTCCAGTTGACAGTGAAGCCAAATGTCGGCTGCCCCGCCTCATCGAAGTGCTGGGACCCGTTGAGGGACGCGGGTTGGATGGGTCTCTGAGCGAGCGACACAGCCGTGTGGTACTTGCCAGAGAAGGTGCCGTCCCCGTTCACTTGCTGTATCTGCATCTGGGAGCCCAGCTCATTCCTCCACAAGCCAGTCAGGATGCACTGAAAGGGGAGGGACATGGTCAGTGGGTGGGCGGGATCAGCGCCCTGTACACAGCACTGTGGGGTCAGATGCTAAGCCGGGGCTGTGCCCTCGACAGCCCCGAACGCAGGACAGTGACGGCTGAACTTTTTAATTTATAAAAATCTCATGATTTTAATGCCAATCTCACGATTTCTGGGGGCTTTTGCTGAACTCTTCTTTAACAACTCCAAACTTTCATTCACATTTTTCTGTCTAACTTTTTCTTTCCAATAAATGTCATTGATAATTTCCATCAGCTGTGGGAGCTTAGCTCTTTTGTAGCACCACGTCTGTCTATGACGGGTTGGGTCAGTCCTCTGGCCAGAATGTCCCAGGGCCGGGCGTGCAGCGAGCTGGCCTATAACATATGTGACGCTATGAGTGTAATACGATATCTCATTGAAAGATGACAGGACCAGAAAGAGTTAATTACCTCCCAGACTGACCTGACCCATGGTTGAACTTTAGAGACTGGTTAGGAAGATCTGTAAATTAATAGAGCTTTGAAATGCAAGTCTGCATTGTTAGAGATAGAAGAGTAGATGTTTGCTCAGGTCTTGTAATATAAGCAAACAAGTCTTGTCTATTGCTATAGCTTTAATTCAAAGATCAAAAAAGGAGTATTAACATTTAGGAAGACACTTGAGGGAAATAGTATTATTGTCTCTATGTCTCTTTGAAGGTTGTGGTAACCTGTATCTGAACTGTTTAATGGATAAATTACCCTGTGCTCATTGCCAGGATGTTTGGAAGGCGCATTAAGTCTATTGTTTTCTCAGGCCGAAATTGACTGGAGCTACCCTGAATATGGACATTGGACTATAACCTATGGACTATTTCTAAAAGGAATTTTGGCAACTACAAGCTCATCTCTGCTATGTACCTGAACCTCAAGATTTAAATTCAAGTCTGTCTGTATAATGATCTTTTAACCAACACTCTCTCTCTTTTCCTTTTTAATAAATTTTAGTTTAGTTAATAAGAATTGGCTATAACTGTGTATTTTGGATAAGATCTAAGTTATAATTGGACCTGGGTGTGTGGCTGATCCTTTGGGGTTGGAAGAACCTTTTCTTTTATATGATGAGAGAAGATTTTCAGTCATCATCATCACATCTGACAGGTGTGTCTGGACGGAGGCCTGAGGCTGGCCACTTTAAGGGAACTGCGTTGTTTGGACTCTGAGTAACCAGTGAGGTACTACAGAAGCTGTTTTGGGCTGGTTGGTAAATCTAAGTATTGGAATATCCACCAGCGTTTGGGGTTTGTCTGCCCCGTTTTGTTTGCTGATTGAGTGACCTCAGCTGGCTCCCACAGGCAGCACTGTCACAACGTACAAACCGAGCCAACTGCGAATGTACGGCGCGACGGACCCCTGCTCCCAGAGCGGGCGGGAGGCGGGGCGATGAAATGCAAATGCAGACAGGGAGACAGGCCAGCAAGGAGCCCAAGACGGAGGGGAACAGGGTCTCCCCGTGGGCATTAGGGCTCATTCCCCAGGCCGCACGGTGGCTCTGTGGACAGGCACACACGGGGCATCTTCTGACTCAGTGATGCTGCTCACTGGTGCCCCTGCCCCCGCTCACCACTCTGGCCTCTGGGCTCTGAGCTCAGCCGCCAGGCGTCTATCCAGCGTATCAGCCCAGCAGCGCTCTGTGCGGAGAGCAGAGACGCCTGCACACACAGCACTGAGCACACAGCACTGAGCGGCTTCTGCCCTCCCACCCGGCTGGGAAAGGGGGAGGGAGCCAGCTGTAATTCCAGTTCACTTCTCTCCGGCCCGGGGCTGTGACCAGCCTGCGCAAGGGCCCAGCTGCTCTCGCCCCACTGGCGTGGGGTAACGTCACTGCACCCGTAAGCAAGGCTGGGCTGCCACCTGGGCCCCTCGCGCCTTGGTCGCCAAGGTCAGTCAGGCTCTGCTCCTGCAGCCTGTGTCCTGGAACCAGCTCCCTCCTCGGCAACATGCTCCATAGGGGCCTTTCCTGTAGTGTATTGGCCACCAGGCTGGTGCACCATCGCTACCAGCCTGGCCTCCCCCCGTCTCACACGCTGCCCCCATCTGGAATTGAGCCTGGCCGCGGGCGGGGCTGGGGGAGGCAAAGCCCAACCAGGATCTCAGCCTCCACACTTCCTGCAAAGCCTCAAGCTACGCAGACAGACGGGCATCCTGGGCTGCAGCCAGGTACCAGCTGGGGCCTGGGCAGCACGGGCGCCGAGGCTGAGGTTACCTTGCAGTTTGCCGCTTGCCTTTGGTGCCCAGGAGTCGGTCCAGGCCTGGGCTTTGTTTTCCTTGTGGCTCTCTCCTCCTCTGCGCGTTTCTTTCCCTCTGTGACAGTTTCATCTTCCTGGCAAAGCAGCTGTTAAAGAGAGCAGAGAAGAGCAGCTGCCTTCCTGGGCAGACACTCAGCGAACGCAGCCAGCGCCCGGCGCTGCTGCTCCCGAAAATGCCAGCGGGTGCCCAGACCCTGGCCACGCCCCTGGGGCTGATGTTTTGCCCATAGAGACACAGCGTTTAAGGCCAGAAGGGTCCTGCCGGCTGTCACTGGCCACTGACCCACCCAGCACCGCCCACTAAACCCAACAACGGAAATGAGACCAAAGTCTGGCAGGCCCAGGAGACCAGGCTGTTACGTGCCACAGGCAGAAGCCAGGCGGCGCCGAGAGGCACCATGCCCGAGGCCACACGCTGCGGAGGAAAGAGAAACCGCCCAGGGTCCCGGCCAAGCTGACCTGGGGGAAATGCCTTCCCAACCCCACATGTGGTGCTCAGTCAGGCCCTGAGTGTGGGAGCAGGAACCAGCCAGCCAAGCCCCTGCGAGAGAGGATGCTCCCTGCCACCTCCGAGCCCTGGCCCACCCGCCCAGTGTCCCATCTCCAGCCAGGGCCATCCCTCAGGCTTCAGCAGCAGGATCTAAAATGAAACAAACCCAGACTACACAGAGGCAGGGACTCTCAGGCTGGAGGCTGAGACCCAGGGAGCTGCTGAAGGACAGAACAGGGGTTTCAGATTGGAAGGAATTGCTCAGTCTTGCTTTTAATGCTGATGACTTGAGTAACACAGGGGTTAAGAACATAAGAACGGCCAGACTGGGTCAGACCAAGGTTCATCTAGCCCAGTGTCCTGTCTGCCAACAGTAGCCAATGCCAGGTGCCCCAGAGGGAACGAACAGAACAGAACAGGGAATCATCAAGTGATCCATTCCATGTTGCCCATTCCCAGCTTCTGGCAAACTGAGGCTAGGGACACCATCCCTGCCCATCCTGGCTAATAGCCACTGATGAACCTGTCCTCCATGAACTTACCTAGTTCTTTTTTGAACCCTATTATAGTCTTGGCCTTCACAACATCCTCTGGCAAGGAGTTCCACAGGTTGACTGTGAGTTGTGTGAAGAACTAAGCCTGCTGCTTCTGGCCCGTTGTACTGAGCATCCTGCTTGGTTGAGGGCCCCCACATATTGCTAAAGATTTTAAAGCTTGTGCATAAGATATTCATGGGGTGAAATCCCTGCCTGGGGTGGGGGGAGGGCAGGGGACACACCCCGTTCTCACCTCCCCCAGTGTCAGTGCAATGCCTGTCCCCATCACCTCTCACTCCCCTGCCTCCAACTCCTACTCCCCCTGCCCAAACCAGGAGCCCACTGCCTGCCCCCAGAGAGGGGAAGAACCCAGCACATCTCCCTCCACCACTGGTGCCTCGTTAAAATAAATATAAATAAAATAATAATGGAGATATCCTATCTCCTAGAACTGGAAGGGACATCAAGCCCAGCCCCCTGCCTTCATTAGCAGGACCAATTACTGATTTCTGCCTCAGATCCCTAAGTGGCCCCCTCAAGGATTGAGCTCACAACCCTGGGTTTAATCAGGTCAATGCTCAAACAACTGAGCTATCCCCCTCTCAAGAAACAGTGTCTGAAGCCTCCCTAAAGTCCTCCCAACCCAGATAAAACCCTACCTGAAAGTGAATCCCAGTCACTGGGGGACCAAGAGCCTGAGATGAGCCAGAGCGAGCACCCAGCCCCCCCGGCCCCTCACCGTGCCCCGGCCTGAGACACCCCAGAGCGAGCACCCAGCCCCCCCGGCCCCTCACCGTGCCCCGGCCTGAGACACCCC